ACTCAGTGGCTTCAGCCACCAGCGATACACTTTCAACACAAATAAATTGTTCCAATGTTCGGCCACAGCACCAACAGTCCCATTTCGACTAATGCTTGCACCTTTCGCATCAAAGTTCACTTCGAAGCCTTTGCTCACTAATCGCTTCACTGACAACAAGTTCGCTTTCATGTCTGACATCAGCAGCACATCATTAATTGTGATCACACGACGTTTGTTCGCACTGTCAACAACAATCAACTTGCCAGATCCTCTTCCTGTGGATCTAACATTCACTCCATTCGCGACACTCACATCTTCTCTGACACTGCTGTCAAACTACTCGAAAAAATCACGGCTATTCGCAATATGGCACGTTGCGCCGTTGAGGCATGCAAAGCTGTTTCTGCACTTTTGTCACTGTCCACGCGATTCACCTTCTTCTGCCACTCGTCAATTAATTTGCCTTTAACGAGGTCCAAGGTCAAATCCGCATCAGGCCTTGCTTCCAAAGCAGTCACTAGTGTCTCATATTCTTCCGGGAGACTACTCAACAGAATCGCCACGAGCCACTGATCATCCAAAACAGCGTTTGCCTGCAACCCGTTCAATTTTTCCACTAGATCCGTCAGCGTCGCAATGTGAGCTTCCATATCACCGTTGTGCTCCAGCCGGAGACGGCAAATTTTTCGCATGAGAGAAACTTTCGTGCTGAGGATTCTTTTCACATGCACTTTTTCGAGGTTCTCCCACGCCTCCTTGGCAGTTTTGGCTTTCCGAGTGTGGATCAGCTGACTGTCCTCGACAGCTAATCCGACTGTTGCCATGGCCTGCTGATTTTTCGTCTCCCATGCGGGTGTAACGGGCTCCGGTTTCGCCTTGTCGATAGCCTCCCAACATCCATCCTTCATTAGGAGCAGTTTCATTTTGAAGCTCCAATTTTCATAGTTGGAAGCACAAACGAAGTGACAGACGGAGCGGCTCGAAAACTTTGGTGACTAACCTGCTATTGCATTTTTTCAGTGTACCACATGGCAACACCACTACTACTGGATTGTACCACATGGCAACACTACTACCATAGAGGTAACTCTAAGACCACTGGGTCCCGAAGAAAATCATTATTATTTTTGGCTCACTCAGTACCAGAACAACGGTCCCAAGCAGTCCCAAGCTATTTCACTCACCCCTGCATGTTCTGCATGAATCCACACACCCCTGATGTTATCTGTCAAACTTTCATAGCGAATCAAAACAAACATAGTGTAGTAATAGAATTTCAACTAGAATAGGGTACGTTAATCGTTTGCTTGGGACCAATAGGCTACTAAAGTGGTGAGCCAATTTAAAATCGTTAGTTTCGTATTGATTGTTGCTACTACCACAAACGAAGTGACAGACGACTAACTGGCCAAGAAATCCATTAAAATAATGTGGTTCACTGTAATAGAATTTTCTTGGAAGCTTGTGCCATCATTCACCAGATGGGCTAGTTTTTTTGTTTTGATTTGAACAAAGTTGAATTTTTGTACAATGATTCTTTGACAGTGTGCAAAGAGTGTATCATTTTGTCATTTTTTTATGCATTTCAGTTTTGAGTAGAGTGAAAGAGATAGAACCAAAACATTCTAATACATTTGGTGAAAATGCTAGTACAATCCAGTAGTAGTATTGCCATGTGGTACAATCTAGTAGTAGTGGTGTTGCCATGTGGTACACTGAAAAATTGCAATAGCAGGTGCGTCACCAAAGTTTTCGAGCCGCTCCGTCTGTCACTTCGTTTGTGCTACTAGATTGAACTAGCATTTTCACAGACTCCCTTCACTCTTTGGAATTTATAGAGACAGACAACAGCGCCAATAGGTCTTTGACGATACAACGTTGAACTGCAGCGTTGGAAGAAAACACGCACACCATGATCTATACATGTACGAACCCACACCACTGAGCGGAGGGTACAGCGCAAATCAAAACACGAAGCGGTGTCATCACTCATCGTCAACACTCAGCTTCGGCAGCTTTAGTTTACGATTTAATTCGCCGTCATTGAAAAATACCTTCTTTATAAAATAGAAAAGTCAGTGCCAACATTTCAAAGGGACGCCCCCCATGCATGTGTAAACAATGGCTTAAGCCGTCGATTTCTCGCGAATAAAAGCTCACTCATAAAAAATAATGACACCAGCAGGTAGAGGAATGTTTCCTCAACCAGCTAGCATTGTAATTTTGGAGAGGTAAGATTTCATTCGCGCGAAATTGACGGCTAAAGTCATTGTTTACAAAAGCAATTACGCCCCTTTGAAATGTTGGCACTGAAGTAATCATTATTCCAACGTAATTTTTGAATAGCCAATGGCGTGCAGCGTTGGCCAAGGAAGACGGCATATTTTATTACGTTTGTTTAGCAATGATTTCGATACGTTTCGTTTTTTCCATGTATACTTCTATGCAACTTCTATTATGTTGAGCAATAGCTTCATAAATCATCAATTCTCGATTACTTTTTCGAAGGGACGTATCTGCATTTATTATTGTTTTCTCAAGCTTTTCTGATGCGTATAACGTGGTAATGATTGAAAATGGATGCAATCATAACGAAGTGAGAATCTTGCTATCGCAATATAATGATGATGACATCGATCATCCTCTTCCCTTGGCTGATCATCAACGTCCACGCTGGCATATGTCATACTGACACCTGTCATTTATTGAGCCCTGGTGTTAAAGTTGGCGGGGGACTCCCAACAGTTTCAATGTGCACTCACGAGATGGCACTCGATCACATAAGGGTGGTGTATCCTTTGCCTTGTTCGAGGAATTGATTTGTGGGATATCTTGTTAATGGAATATCTTTGATTTTCACCAAATGTACTAGAATGTTTTGGTTCTATCTCTTTCACTCTACTCAAAACTGAAATGCATAAAAAAATGACAAAATGATACGCACTCTTTGCACACTGTCAAAGAATCATTGTACACAAAATCAACTTTGTTCAAATCAAAACAAAAAAACTAACCCATCTGGTGGATGATGGCACAAGCTTCCAAGAAAATTTTATTACAGTGAACCACATTATTTAAATGGATTTCTTCGCCAGTTAGTCGTCTGTCACTTCGTTTGTGGTTGGAAGCATTCAACTTGGTGAACGATACCAGTTTTTCACTCATCTTGGAACCGACGGAAAAATCAACCGCACACAAACCGACCAAAAACACAAATTCCCGAATAATCACTCGCGACTCCAATGCGCTGGGCCCATAACCTACACTGATAAATTAAACTATTCCCATTTTGCTTGAAATTTAATCAATTTGACATTATACTCAGTTTATTCATATCAAATGATTAAAAATTGATCCTCTCTTTCTAAAAAAATAAGCATCTGATATTAATCCCAGTTTAATCATGGTTGATTAGATTGTAGATTATCTTGTTTTGAATAAATTTGAATCATTTTTGATTCTATTTTAATAAATTTTGATTGAATTTTAATCTTTTTTTGATTAAATATCAGTATTGAAAATGAATAAAATTTAATACTGGAAAGATTATTTCGATTTTAATCATTCATGACTCGGACTCAATAAGGTGAAGCGGGAATCTGCATACTTTTTAAGCTTTTTTGATTTAATTTATCTTTGAGTGTATGGGAAGAACCAGGCAGACACGCACAAACGGATGGAATCGGACGAAATATCGGAATTCGGATTAAAACCAACACGGTACGGACATAACTTGTTCTAACACGTTTGTTTATTCTGATTGTACTTTTGCGAATGCCAAGAAAAATTGAACGATGGAAAGGTAATAGCAACATACACTGTTAAGTGAAACAATGAAATTTTTACTCTAATATATGCAATGAAGCAGTGTTGCTAGTTTCTCTACAACAATACACTTAAAACAAATGGCATAAACTTTAAATGCAAGGGCCGATTTCGTACATCCTCTGCATTGTTTCTTACAACAAATGTAATGGCAGTTCCTACAATGGACTGTACACACCCAATTTTTATTGCCGTAAACCAGCAACATTTTGCTGGATTTTGCCGAGCTGGAAGTTCAGTAATCCTTCCAGGAAAATATTGTAACATGATCTGTCAATTAAGTGACAGCACATCGCTGAAAACCCAGCAAAATGTTGCTGATGCTTCAGCAAATAGAAGCAGCAATTAATTTACAGTGGGAGGGAATGGAAAATTTTAGTTTGGAATTCATTGGATGTCACGAAATCATTCTATCTTTATTTATTCAAAGCTCATCATATATGGTATGGTACTGGTACATGGTACACGCATTTTTTGATTAATTTCTATAGTAAAGCAGACAAACGTGTCTCTGATCCTGTCATCTTGCGGTTTTGATTCAAGCTGCAAACATAGGGAAAAAACGATTTTTTTTTTCTTGAATTCAGCATGGATTTTTACAAATAAACTTGAAAAATGTTGCACTTACTTGTTGGTGGTACACTAAAAATCATTTCCAAGAGCAAAATTTGCTAGAATTAAGCAAATTAGTTGCGAATATTTTAGTTGGTAACCAATCATACGACGAGTGAATTGGAATTTTCTAGAACTGGCATTTCATTTGACAGATCGAATACAATTTACTGAGTATCCAGCAAAACATTTCAGAATGCTGGATGGTCGGTGAAATGTGGTTTTGCTGGAACCAATTCGGCAATTCAGTTTGCTGGAACTTGAATCTAAATTTTGGTGTGTAGCGTACATGTAAGTTTATCCAGAACAAATATTTTCGTATTCTTCATGCGATGATGTTCTAGCCGAACTGCATTTGGGGAAACAAAGTTCATTCGAAAATGTATACTAATATAGCAGACTATAGCAGACATTTAAAAAAAAAAAAGCTTCATAAAAACATTAAAGATTCTGTTAATATGGTGAGACCTTACATATTATGTAGATACTTTTTATGCAAATCGGTAATAGAATCTTACAGTTTCCAGTTGGGTGTAATAATATGTAGAATTAGCAAGCTCACTTGAATTCTATACTTCCAGATGTTCCTACATTGACTTTCCCAGAAGCCGGCCTCTTATCAATAAACCAGAATGCAGCATAAAATTGGAAACCTCGGATACATTTGAAGGGAACATTGGACCCCGTGCATTAGGATTCCGAAAACATCGTAGCAGGATACCGGTCCGAAATCAGTATCACGCTTTAACAGATGAAGAGCTAGCAAAATTCGCAGCACTGCCTGAATACCGAAAAGCCAAAAAAGAACTTTCAATAAAACCCCGACCGACGAGTAAAAGCACTTTAGCGCAAAAGATTCTCAACGAAAAAAATAAAGTAGGACTGCGACAAGATGGCCAAAACGTATCTACTACGATAACCAATGAAGACGGCAACGAGCAATCTCCAAAAAAGACACCAAGTTTCAAATTTATGGTGGAAAACACTGACGACAATCGAAATAGGAAAAGTCAGCCTGAAAAACGTACTAAATCTCCAATACTTGCTATTCAAAGAGAAAATGGTCCATTGGAAATGTATGATAAACCACAGTTCCGTAGCTGCAAAAGCTATTCCCAAAGGAATCGGACCAATATTATTGAGGCTAATACGAATTATGCAAAAAATTCAAGTGACCAATATCAGCAGCATCACATGTGTAGAACAAAAAATGGAGCATATGACGAACAGAATGTGGTACCGAAGTCGTTTGTCGTATTAAATGCGCCAGTTAAACAAAAAAACAAACACTGGTTGGGGCCGACGACAATTTATGATTCACATTTATATTAGGTTGACTATCAACAAATCGCGGATATATTGAACCAGAATCTGAACCATCTGGTTTTTTTTTCCTCTGTTCATGGCATAAGAAGGTGTTAAATACCTATAGGCAATAAGCATGAAATCTCGCAGCCACTATTTGTATATTGCCCTAATAAACAAATATAAACGAACTGTATCCCGGATGGGTAAACTATCTCACAAATGGTTTGGATGATACCCCGAACACGTCGTTAAGCTCTCTTGTATGGTTATTTTATCAGGGTGAGTTTCGAAACTGGTATGGCTGTGTGCGCTTTATCACTATGTTATGGATTTTATGTAAGCGCCACCGAATAAAGGTTCTATGATTGTGGAAAGGCATGTTTTTTTTATTTGGATGGTGATTATAAAGGGCTATCATATGGTGATTCTGAAGGACCAGTACATCAATGATACATCAGATACACCAATGAAAATCTTTGACCCCTCCCCCCAACATCTCAGACCGGATTTCTCATTTGACTTCTGATTGCTTCCTTTGACTTGACTGCCTTGCTAGGGTCTGGTGGGGCAGGAGTGCCACCTTAACAATTGTACCTTCTGTACATGTCAAAAAGTGGATATTTAAATTTTCTATACCGTATTGCAAGCACTTACAAGTTCATATTATTCCCTTTATACATCAGTAATGTAATGAAAATAAAATCTCGTTAAAAGTTGTTTACGATTTTTTCAAAATGTCATCTCAGGGCTAAAGGGCAATGCATCTTAAATTGAGTGAAATTTATTAATGCTTATTTATAAACACAGCCTTTTGATTATTTATCATGCTAGCAAACAGCTTTTATTGTTGACTCAATTTAAATATTGAATTTTACAATATTATTCAACTATGTTTATTAATTTAATCAAATTAAAACTATTGGTGTTATTATTTTATGAAGCTGTATTTGCTAAATTTAGTGAAGCTTACCGAAGACTTACATACACAATTATGTAATTTCTTTGGCATTTTTGTATAATTTTATTCATAAATATAGAGGTGACACTCTTGCCCCGTGTGAAATTAATTTTGAAGAAGATGATTTTTGACCAATTATAGGGAATATTTACCTATTCTTTCTTATTGATGATTCAATTAATTATTATAAATAATACCTCAATGCAGCAATTATAGGAAACAATATTTGGAAATTCAAAATTCCTTATTTTATTTTGTCTAATCATTATAAATAATTTCGAATTTCGACACACCAGCACAAAATGACTTTATGCAATTTTTGTAAGACTTCATTTTTGACAGAACTTTCTATAATGCTGCAAAGAAACACCATTCATAGTTTCAAGGGTGAGTTAGCATTGAAAATATGTTTATTTTCAAAATTATTGGGGGTGGCACTCTTGCCCTACTTGACCCTACATAGAAAGTTGCTGTCTTGGAAAAATTGTTCAGATGAATACAACTAATTTCAAATTGTATTGTTACGTTTCAACTGGAATTATGCTTATATCTTCAACTTCCATTTTATTTGCCGTTACTTGGAAAATGGTGACTACACAAAGCACAAATATTTTTTTTTGTACACTTATACATTTTTACCAAAACATCAGCTTTATACATTCCATAAGACGAACCGCATAGGTCATATAAGAATGCATAAAAGGTATGTGTGACCGCTTATACATTTCATTTGACACATGATCTTCATTAACTTTTTGCAAGGCGTCTGCTCATTAGTTGACTTATAAATTTTATGAATAGCAATATAAATTTGCCAAAAGGTATAAGGAGATTTCTATCCGTGTAAGAATCACCCATATTCTTCAATTTTAGCTACGATTACCTAAAATTATCGGTAAAAAGATATCGGTATTTTTTACCGATAAAAATTGTTACTTTTTACTTTAAATAGGCTATTTTTTACTATAAATTAGGTAATATTTAACGTTAATTATTGGTAATCCATAATTACCGATAATTTAGATATGTGCACTTTCTTCGATTATCGGTAATTTCTACCGATATTTAGGTATTCTTTACCGACTTTAAGGTATGTGCATCTTAGCGTGTTGTGTTTGATCGAACCGTGCATACACTAGTGGAAATTAATATAAGGACACTTTAAAAACCATGCATGGCTCCTCTAAGCTATGTACGTTTGGGAGCCATATTATGATTCTACAATATGAGCCTAAGAAAGAACCAATTGCATCATGTAGGTAGGAGAAATAAATGGAATTGTGATTTTCTCCTTCGGAAGTAAATATAAGGACGCCATACAAAAATGTATGGGGAATTGGTCATTGTCGAAACATTATGTAGCATGTCAACAATTATTGTGACACCAAAATAATCAAAGAGCTAGTTAAAATAATCATTAATCTTCATTTCTAAAAAGTTTTAATCAGATCCAATCGTTAAAAGTTCTCAAAAATTCCAAAAATCATTGGATGATCAGCGATAATCACATAGGAAAAATATACATTTAGCCCGAGCAGGAACCGATAGCTAATCGATAACAAATGAATATCTTAATGTGGTATAATACCAGATTTTGGTATGCTTGTAGTATAAAACCTTGTTTTGATATTATTCAGTTATCGAAATATTTTGTAAAATATCAAATGAATACCAAAATAACAAAATGTGATCTTTCAATTTTTAGACAATAACACCTAATACCCCGTTCACATTACAGCGTATATCACGTGATATACGCTGTCTTGCAATGAGCACTCATACATCTAGTTTTCACTGGAAATCCTATTGCTCCTAGCTCAACTTTTTGGCTCAGCTCTGGTACTATCGTCGGTCCCAAGCTAATCGATGCACCCCTCGAAATATAGGAAAATCCATGAACCCCTAATTTTATCTGTCAAACTTTCATAGAGAATCAAAACAAACATTGTGGAGTAGTAGAATTCCGACTAGAATGGGGTACGTTAATCGTTTGCTTGGGACCAATGGCTAGTCAAGTAGTGAGCCAATTTAAAATCGTTAGTTTCGTATTGATTGTTGGTACAACAGTACTGCTTTGTATGTCTGTCAATGGTATTAGCAACAATCAATACGAAACTAACGATTTTAAATTGGCTCACTACTTGACTAGCCTATTGGTCCCAAGCAAACGATTAACGTATCCAATTCGAGTCGAAATTCTAGTACTACACTATGTTTGTTTTGATTTGCTTTGAAAGTTTGACAGATAAAATGAGGGGTTAGTGGATTTTCCTATGTTTCGAGGGGTGAATCGATTAGCTTGGGACCGAAGATAGTACCAGAGCTGAGCCAAAAAGTTGAGCACGTATCTTCGGGACCTTCTGGTCTTAGAGTTACCTCTATGGTATTAGGGTTCTGCTTGTGTCTCTTCTAGTCCGGAGAAATTCTAGGTCGATAAGTTGACAAAGGCTGTCGTAACCTCGGTCGTAACTGGGTAATTGAAACGGATCATTCCCTATCATTCCAAGGCAATCAACGCAACGCAAGACGAAGAAAGCGACGTTGAAAAAATTCAATTCTCTCGGCACCGTTGTTGTAGTTTGGGTTTCAAACCGCTGAACATTACTCAAGCGTCGATCTAACAAGCGAACAATAGAGAGATTTTAGACAGTAGATATCAGTGAAGTTTTTAGCTATCCTAAAAATGGACCCTAAAGTTCTTGGGGCTTAATCAAAAACATATACAATGTGTTGCTTGAATGAAAGTTGCGAATCCAAGATCACACCCAAGTCTTTCACCTGATTCACGCGTTCGATTGTCGAGCCAAGCAGGTCATAGCTAAATATGATCGGTTGTTGTTTTCGTGAGAACGTAATAGCGGAGCATTTGGCTGGGTTCACTACCATTCTGTTTAAACTGGACCAACTAGCGAATACATTCAGTTGACGTTGAAAAAAGTGACAATCAGCAATGAAGCGGATTCGTAGAAAGATTTTGAGGTCATCTGCTTATGATAACCGAGGAGTTTCGATGACCATATGCACGTCGTTGAAGTACAGTATAAAAATCAACGGTCCCAGGTAGCTTCCCTGAGGTATATCTGATGTGGCGAACAAGCTAGCTGATCTGATATCTCCTATGGCAACCGGTAAGATATGATCGAAACCAACTTAGAAGATTACTGCATACACCGAGCCTGCCGAGTTTAGCAATCGCAATAGCATGGTTCGACTTGTCGATTGCTGCGGATAGGTCTGAATAAATAACGTCCGTTTGAACCCAATCCGACATGATTTCGGTTATATACGATGTGAGACACAGCAGATCATGTTGTAGAGCGGCGGACAGAGAACTCATGTATCATAATTGAAGCTACATTGAGCCAGCTGATGTTGACAAATAAATAAATAAAGAAATATTTTGCATCACTGGGTTTTATTTTTGCATAATTCACACATGTTAGCAGATAGTATACGGTACTACAAAATTCAGGTTTCATTTTTGTCCATTTAGGTTAACGAAAGTTGGTTAAATTAAAATACTAAGTATTAATATAACGTTGGGCTGAATTCAATGAGCAATATTAGCGAAAATAGATTTATTTTGGTAGTATGGCGAAAATTAGCGACGATAATAAGATGAACTGTGGTGTTTGTTGCGTGGCGAATTTGATCTGGATCGTGAACGTTTGCATCGGTAGTGGTCCTGACGGTTTCGGGAATAATCACTGTGGCTGCTAGAAAGTAAAATATAAATTTAATGATGTAAATATCGTGATCTACGATTGGATGTGTACACTAAATTTCTACAGTCATTTACGAGGGGATTTTGTGCAATTTTGGGAGACTATTCGAACAAAAAAAAAACGATGGTTACGGGCCAAGCTTGTTTTGAATCCCATCTCATGGATCTCATTATTAGAAATAGAAGTAGTGTGTAAACGTCAAACGCAAGGACATTGATTATGCGCGCCACAGGTGTTTATGAACTATGATACTTTTAAATTGACCGTTAAATGCTTGATCGATGAACAACTTGCGAGTGTTGTGTCTGCTTGTCTGTGATATAAATTTGAGGATTTTTTTTATTTTTTGATTTTGTTTTTTATCCAAATGTATCATGTAATATCATATTGTATACAAATTTATTTCAAACAGTTCATTTGTTAATGCATGAGTGCACCGATGGATTTGAATTTATGCACTGATAAAAATTTTACAGGAGAACGGGGCAATATTTACTAAAAATGAACACTAAATGTTCATGAATAAAGAACATTCAGTGTTCATGATTAATATATAGTGCCCCGCTCTCCTGTCAAATTTTCCACAGGGCATGAACTTAAGCTCATCGGTGCACTCGTCCAGAGAGTCGGTAAATCGTTTTGAATGAATCATCTATATTTCGAATTTTTGTAATTAGGGTAAACGCTCCTTTAGTTGCGGTACGTTAGAAGCGTTAGGTTCCTATAGTTGTGTATGGAACCTTATACACAACTATAGGAACCTAACGCTTCAAATGTACAGCAACTAGAAGCGTTTACCCTATTGCTTGAACTTATATAGATTTTCTCAGCGAAGCAGGCTTGGTTTTGCACAATAATTTTTCTTATCATAGTTTCTGGAGCAACAATAAAAAAGTGCCTATCAGCATTTGCACACAACTTAAGATCCCAAACATGTAAATAAACGGGAAATATCATCAAAACATGGCCACTGTAGGTGCGCTTCGATTCACTATCTATAAACAGTCAAACCCAATTGCTTTAAAAGACCGAATGAATACTATACATACCGTGGGCTTCTTGATCTTGATCTAGAGTATGAACTAGATGATCTGGAGCTCAAAGTTTGTTTTCTTTTGCGGGGCTTAGTCTCCGATTGCTTTACATTTTTACGATTATCTTCTGTATCGGATCCCCAAAGATCGTATTTCGACAGATCTCCACTGTCGTCATCATCGTCGTCGTCTTCTTCTTCATCATTACGTGATTTTTTATATAGTTTTTTAGATATATTCTCACTAATAGACCTGAATCTAGAATTACTGTCTGATCTTTTCTTTTTCCTGCGACCGAATTCGTCGTACTCATCATCTGATTCAGAACGATCCTTGTATTCTACAACTCCTCGATCATTGTAACCTCCTCCGTACCCTACAAAAGAAAAAATAACAATGTATTAAGAGCATTTGTTCTCCGAAAATAAAAATGATCCTTCCGTGCAATAGAAATAAGTATACTTATAACTCTACCCTCTGCTGCCCAAGACCGCCTTTTGGAGGGACGAATTCAAAGAGCTTGTACGAAAATAATTGTTTTTTTGACGTAGAACTACGTGTTTCTTTACTATTCCAGCTTTTTACGCTGGCTATAATTTAAATCATTCTCCATTAGTCGCGTTCAGGCATGGCAAATCATTTGCATTCATTTCGTGCATTCATTTACATTCATTTGCCCCTAACTTTTTTCATCAACAGAATTCCGCAAAATTGTGTATGAAGCTTTTGTAGGTTTTGTTATTAACTACAACTTTTGTTAAAAACTTAAATCCGTATCACTTATGTATGAAGAACCAGAGCGAACAGAAGTCACTACTGTTTTTCAGTGAATGTATTTTACATTCACTGAAAAACAGTAACAAGTTCTGCCCGCTCTAATTCGTGATGTATAAGAGATATAGATTTGAGTTATGGGCAAAAGTTGTAGCTAATAACAAAACCTACTAAAGCTCTATTAATCATTTTGCGGAATGCTGTTGATGAAAAAAGTTAGAGGCAAATGAATGTAAATGATTGCATGAAATGAATGTAAATGATTTTCCATGCCTGGTCGCGTTGAATTTCAAAATCGAAATAAAAATTGTGACAGATGATTTTCTTTTACTGAAAATTATGGATTAGGATTTCATGTTTCTAATAAACTAATTTAAATAAATTCTCACAGCAGGTTTAAATAAATATCTGCACATTACCAACATTTTTTTTTCCAAAATAACTGAGACTCGTTCTAAGCAGTACTACCACAAACGAAGTGACAGACGACTAACTGGCGAAGAAATCAATTAAAATAATGTGGTTCGCTGTAATAGATTTTTCTTAGAAGCTTGTGCCATCAGCCACCAGATGGGCTAGTATTTTTGTTTTGATTTGAACATAGTTGATTTTGTGTGCAATATGATCTTTGACAGTGTGCAAAGAGTGTATCATTTTGTAATTTTTTTATGCATTTTAGTTTAGAGTAGAGTGAAAGAGATAGAACCAAAACATTCTAGTACATTTAATGTTGCCATATGGTACAATCCATTAGTAGTGTTGCCATGTGGTACAATCCAGTAGTAGTGGTGTTGCCATGTGGTACACACTAAGATTTTTTTGCCGAGATGGGCACCACCGAGCAGCTCGGCATTTTATTTTGCTGGAAATTCAGCAAAAAATATGTTTGTTAGCTGAGATCTCGGCAAAATTCCCGTTTGTTAGCTGAATCTCGGCAAGTTTTTCACCGAGATCCAGCAAAATAAAATGCCGAGCTGCTCGGTGGTGCCCATCTCGGCGAAAAAATCAAAGTGTGTACGCTGAAAAATTGCAATAGCAGGTGCGTCACCAAAGCTCCGTCTGTCACTTCGTTTGTGCTAGTAGGTCCCGAAGAAACGTGCTCAACTTTTTGGCTCAGCTCTGGTACTATCTTCGGTCCCAAGCTAATCGATTCACTCCTCGAAACATAGGAAAATCCACTAACCCCTCATTTTATCTGTCAAACTTTCATAGCGAATCAAAACAAACATAGTGTAGTACTAGAATTTTGACTAGAATGGGATACGTTAATCGATTTGCTTGGGACCAATAGGCTAGTCAAGTAGTGAGCCAATTTAAAATCGTTAGTTTCGAATTGATTGTTGGTACAACGATACTTATTTGTATGTCTGTCTATTTAATTTAAAAGGAGTATAGGGTGATACTGTCTGGAAGCCTTTGTCTGATGTCACTTCACATTTTGTAGAGTACAGTCAATTCTAAAAACAACATTAGGGGAAACGCTCCTATAGTTGCGGTACGTTAGAAGCGTTAGGTTCCTACACGAAACGAAAATCAATTATTTTATCCATGTGTTTCACTTATACATTTTTGCCAAAACATCAGCCTTATACATTCCATAAGACATATAACATAGGTCCTATAAGAATGCATACAAGGTATGTGTGACCGCTTATACATTTCATTTGACACATGATCTTTATTAACTTTTTGGAAGGCGTCTGCTTATTAGTTGCCTTATACATTTTATGAATAATCAGCAATAGAAATTTAACGGCGCCGGTGGTGTAGTGGTAAGCGTGATTACCTCTCACCCCAGCAGGCCTGGGTTCAATCCCAGTCGGCGCCGCCGGGATGTTCTGAGGCATAACATCTCTGATCACGCCTTCCTTCGGATGGGAAGTAAAGCCGTTGGTCCCCGGTTCATGAGTTGATGGGTCGATAGGTAGGGTCCAGGTGTGGGAGCTGCCTTCCTGGCACGTCGGTAGCATTGGTGCTCAGCACGGAAAACAAGATCGACGGAAAAAACAAACCAAAGGAAAAAAAAAAAGCAATAGAAATTTGCCAAAAGGTATAAGGAGATTTCTATCCGTGTATAGTTGTGTACGGAGTCTCCATACACAACTATAGGAACCTAACGCTTTTAACGTACTGCAACGATTGTACGACTTTTCCCCGAAAACCAGTTCCCCGAAAACACTTTCCTCGAAAGTTTTATCCCCGAAATACGATTCCCCGAATGAACCAGTTGCCCGAAAGGAACGTTTTCCCGAAAACTATTTCCCCGAAAGATACAATTTACACTGTGCGATCTATTGAAATATGATCCTTGGGTTTGTTACAACTTATCTATATGAAATTGAGAAAAATATCTTTGCTGAATATTGATAAACAGAACAAAGTCGTTCAACACCCTAGATAAAGTTTGTGGTTATGACTTGTTATGACATTTGGCGGTTTATCAAATTGATATCTGATTGTAATGAGCATAAAGACTGAGCTTTGATATAAAGAAGGGAAAATTGTGTCAGTTTCATCAAATCTTTCGCTGGTTAACTACTTGTATCGAACAATACCACAATACACATATCAATGTGTGTCGAATTAAAGTGGACTCTACACGACTGTTTGTATTGACAATAATCGTATTGTCAATGCATTTTATATTGACGTCAATACATCGGTATTGACAATATATCTGTATTCACATCATCAATATTATTGTCAATACTTTTAAGTATTGACAATATTTCTTACCGTGTGGGGTTCGCTTAAGACAATAGTTTGACTTTCGTTAAAACTACATGTAAAGGTCACACACTAAGATTATTTCACCGAAATCTGTGAAATTTTACCGAAATCTCAACAGCTGATCGTTCGGTAAACAGTTCGGTGATTTTTCACAGATTTCCTGTAATTTTTTACCTTTTTTACCGAATATTCTGAAATCGGTGTATGGTGTTTTCTTCTTGCTCCATACAATTTTGGATTCGGCCTATAAGGAGTCGCAAAGTGACTATAGCATGTATTGCATGGGGACGCATGGTATCTTTTATTTATTAGTATGGAGTTTTTTAACGTTCGTACCTATCCAACACACACACACACACACACACACACACACACACACACACACACACACACACACACACACACACACACACACACACACACACACACACACACACACACACACACACACACACACACACACACACACACACACACACACACACACACACACACACACACACACACACACACACACACACACACAAACACACACACACAGACACACACAAACACACACACAACACACACACACACACACACACACACACACACACACACACACACACACACACACACACACACACACTCACACACACACACACACTCACACACATACACAACACACACACACACACACACACACACACACACACACACACACACACACACACACACACACACACACACACACACACACACACACACACACACACACACACACACACACACACACATACACACACACATACATTGTATGCAATTAGCTCCATGGAACATACGAAGTTATACGTCAAATAATCAACTAAGATAAAAAGAAGGAAAAATTCTTGCAACAAACAAAATTTTCCCTTCTTTGTATCACAGCTCGTTCTTTAACGTTTTGAAGAATAAATATCTTACTAATTGATAAAACTGATATCTAATCGTAATCAAATTAAAAAAAGTAAAAGGGTCTGTGCCTAGGGGCACGAACGGAAGCTTGACGTAGGACCGCTAGTGGAGGGAATAAGTGAAGAGCATTAAGTTCTTTTAATTGATCAAATCAGGCATAACATTTGATAACGGCACAAAAGCATTTGTAAACAAACATTCTAAGGCCCTTTACACGCGAATGATGTTGTTGATTTGCGTGAGCGTACTTTGGTTCGCGTGTAAAGGGCCTTAGAAGGTTTGTTTACAAATGCTTTTGTGCCGTTATCAAATGTTATGCCTGAAATATCTATTATCTCAACTCTTTCCGTTTTTGAATTGTAGGCGATCCAAATTTGTAGTAATCTTTTTCAAAAAGAAAGTTGATTACGAGAATCAATCCAAATCAATTGCACCCCTGCTTCCAAGTTTGTGTGGTCGTTGGGGGGCTTGTGGTTCTGAATATGGACAAACAAGCACAGATAAATTCTATTCCAACTCTTTACTGATGTAAGCTTGATGGCCCTGAAAAGGGCCGTTTTATTGAAGAGGACATCCATGGCCACTTACGCTTGGAGTGTTTAGAGTAGGTGACAGCATCACGGACCTCATTTTCCACGAACACCTTCAGCACACCTCGTAGATCAGACCGGAGATACGTCAGACACTGCCACGGCGAGCCAGACGACGGATGGTGGTTGGTTTTTCGGATGGTTTTTCGGTTTTCACAAAGTGTACTCCCATATAGAAATCAAAGACGTAGTCCTACGTCAAAACGAGCCGTTAGGGGCTAACATTAATTATGTCACGCGAAATTGAGGCAAAATTAATCAATCACAGATTTCTACACGTCCCTCCTTAGGGCGTGACATAATTTGTACATCACCCCTTATACAAAGAAGAAAAATCGTTGTTTGTTTCAAGAAATGTTCCTTCTTTGTAGCACAGCTCGTTTCTTAACGTATCGCATAATATCTATCTAATTGGTTTTATCAAAGAGATATCATTTTCCTTTCTTTATATCACGACTCGTTCTTCAATTTTATTACAATGAGATATCGCTTTGATAAATTAGTAAGATAGGGGAAAAGTTGGCTTCGGCAATACCTTAACCTATTATCGTCAGGGGGGTAAACAAAGTTCTAGAGCACTCAAATTTGGCTAATAGTTGCTCTGAAACACAATGTATCCACATGCCAAAATTGAGCTCTTAATGACGTTGTTTACCCCCCTGACGATAATAGGTTAAGGTATTGCCGAAGCCAACTTTTCCCCTATTTATTCTTCAAAACGTTAAAGAACGAGCTGTGATACAAAGAAGGGAAAATTTTGCTTGTCGCAAGAAATTTTCCTTCTTTGAATCATAGTTCATTCTTTGACGTATAATATGGTATGATCCATGGAGCTAATTGCATACAATGTGTGTGTTTGTTAGATAGGTACGACCGATAAAAAAAAACTCCATACAAACAAAGAAAAGATATCATGCGTCCCCATGCCATACATATTAGGCACATGGCGACTCCTTATAGGGTGAATCTAAAATTGTATGGAGCACGAAGAAATCAATATGTGTTGAATAAAGACAAAAGTTTGACTTTCGTTAAAACTACATGGAAAGGTCAAAAGCTGCTGAAATAGGATTACACCGATTTCAGGAGCTTTACCTTTACATTTTGTTTTAACGAAAGTCAAACTATTGTCTTTATTCGACGCACATTAATATGTTTATTGTGGTATTGTTCGATACAAGTATTTAACCAGCGAAGATGCGCAGATTCGGGGAAATTATTTTCTGGGAACTGTGCCATTCGGGGAATTGTATTTCGGAGAATTGTATTTCGGGGAAAAGTTACATTCGGGGCAATAACTTTCGGGGAAAGTGTTTTCGGGGAAAAGTCGTACAATCACTGCAACTATAGGAGCGTTTACCCTAATAACAATGAATAACGCCAACATATAAAGCAACGCATTTTCGAACCCATCGTTGATATTTGCACAGTTGTGTATTTAGATGTATACACTTTGGGGCGAATCCAATAGAAACTAATACTACGACTAATACCACCAACGAACTTCGTTTGTGCTAATACCAACCGGTGGAAACTAACGATTTTAAATTGGCTCACTACTTGACTAGCTTTTGGTCCTAAGAGCAACCGTAACGGTCGTTGTCATTTGCGCGACTATTTTAACAGCGCACAGCGCTCTCATTTTAGTTTAGTCACTCTTCTCCACACCGGTCGCTGCTATCGCGGTTATCAATTTACTCGCCGTAGTCCGTACCGGTAGTGAGCATTTTGACATTTCTACGAATAGCAACCTTTCTCTCGCGCTGCTATCGCGCTGCTATCGCGCTGCTAAATTTGGTAACGCGCTTCTCACCGAGAAGCCGACTGCTATTTTAGTTACTCGTATGGCATCCCCCGATACGGAAGCTGCGCTATGATGAGGGCTGCTAAAATGAGTTTAGCAGCGTACCGTTACGGTTGCTCTAAGCAAATCGATTAACGTACCCTATTCTAGTATAAATTCCAGTACTACACTATGTTTGTTTTGATTCGTTATGAATATTTGACAGGTAAAATGAGGGGTTCGTGGATTTTCCTATGTTTCGAGGGGTGCATCGATTATCTTGGGACCGAAGAGAGTACCAGAGCTGAGCCAAAAAGTTAAGGACGTTTCATTGGGACCTTCTGGTCTTAGATTTACCTCTATGCTAATACCTTGTTCAGACTACAGAGTTATAACATGTTATAACAGGGTGCCTTCCATTCATTTTGGCTAAAAAAATGTTTTATGAAATTATGGAATAATAAGATATTATAATAATATTTTGTTTGTGTAAGTAACAAGAAAAGATTGTGGAGTTTGTGTTCCCTATATTACGTAACGCAAGAGGGGTGGGGTAGTCAGCTATTCGAGTACCGCCATGGTATATGAAAAGTGTGTGACTAGAAGATGTGGGGTATTCAAAAATCCGCTTTTTTGCGTTAGATAATATTTTAACATGCCCTTATGCAGTTTCTCAATGAAATGGTTCATGTCTAGCGTTCAGAATCACAAGGGCCTAACTGCGATGATCATTTTTTTTCTTTTGCTGATAAATCGGCTGGATTGACATTTCTCGGTGCATTTGATTTTGCTTTTGCTAGCTAATACAACATTTTACTACACTGTTTTGGAAAAATTTCGAAAATTTGGTTCACTTAACTGTAATAATGTGAAGAGAAAATCGATCATCGCAATTAGGCCCTTATGATCGATAGTATTGTTGGTTGCAACAAAAATGGAATATGCAAAAAAGTGCACATTCACGTCAAATTGCTTTGTTGCCTTCGGAGCACTTATTTCTTGTTCATAAGAAATAAGTGCACCGAAGAAAAGTAACCGTTTACGTCAAGTGCACTTTTATCACATTTTTTTTTAAATAAGTGAGAACGCGCTTATCTGTCCAGTTTGGTGGGAAATTTGCAGTATCTACTTACCCGTTCTTTCTTCGACCTCGCAAAATCTAGGAGCATTGCAAAGGTTACAAGTATGACGTCGAGCCCAATTTACATTAGCGCATTTGCTACATTGCCAGTCTTCAGCGCTAAATAATCCTCTGGATTTTTCCGCTGCAACTTTCCCAATTTCAATGCCAACCTTCTTCTTGCTGCCAGTGCTGGGAAGGGAGTCATTATTGGTTCCGGTGCTGCTACTACTACTCTTTTCGGAACCATAAGGACGGTCACCACCACACCGGTTACATTGGCTGCGTCGGGCGAAGTTCAGATTCTTGCAACTGAGGTAATCCAAAGGAATATTCAGGTGACGGAGAAGAATATAAACAAAGGCAAGATCAATATTTTCTCCTGCAACATGCCAGTTACCGAAAAACCAAAACTTTGTTGCTTACTCAGCATCGGGACAGATCCAATCTCCATCCTTATTGGAGCTTCCTCGACGACTTTCATCAGGCTTGGAGCTCGTACTCATTGGTGTTTACTGGCTAGTAATACCGAATTTTTAATTTTTCCAGAATAATTTTAGGTAGGTCTATCTATCTATTCGGGAAATGTCTGCACTGCAAAATATTGGATTTATATATCTCATACACCAATCTGTCACAGCAGATATTTTTTCTAAAGGGAGAATGTTTATATCACATAATTTGTTGACCCTCACGCTATTTCAAAACAACGCAAATTTGGGTAGAATCTACCTAGATCTGTCAAAACTGAACCTACACGGTAACCAACGTAAATACATTAATGTGTAAAATTTCACACATTTTATGAAAAAAGGGCCTACTCATAAAATATGTAAACTGCGTTTACACATTTATGTGTAAACTCAGCAAACGTCAAAAGAAGTGTATTTTTTATTTTTTTTAATAATTCGTTCACGCAGAAAAATTTACCGTCGAAACAAAAATATTTGAGGTAAATTTAAACGTAAACTCAGTTTGTTCTGGCCACAAACATAAACTAGGTTGATTTCAAACGTATTCTATGTTTGAATTCATTGATAATAATGTTTAAAACAAAAATAATGTTACGTTTATTTTAAAAATATTCGTGTTGAAAATAAACGTGAATATTTTTGATTTATTTGAAAACTATATGCGATCAAAAATTAATATGTTTATTTTAAACATGCTTTTCATGTTTAAAATAAACAAACATATTTTGAAATTATTTGGCATTTGAATGCTGAATAAATCAAAATAAAATTGATAGCAAATAAATAGAAATTTCTGCTATTATGGAAAGTCTGTGGATGTTTGGATCCGGGGGGCCGTCGGGGTGGGTGTCCGATCAGATCCAGTTCAGTAAAACCGGTGAAACTTTGTGATATTAGCGTCATTTTTCGTTTCTGACGCTGGTCCTCATACCGGCCTCTTTCTAAGTTTAGTGTTCGGGGATGATCTGTTTTTCTTTCGACGTCGGGTGGGGGGTGAGGATGATATGGGGATCAGCATCAGAAACGACGGATTGACGTTAATATTGTGATGTTCCACCGGTTTTGTCGAGCTTGGAGCACTTGCTTGCGTTGGTTTCCGGACCCTCTACTTTGGTTTCGCCGCTTGCAGGCCGTTTTCGGTTAAGTTTGCCGAATGTAAACAAGAAGGAAAAAAGGACACGCTAAAAATTGATTACCCAGATTATGTATTGTTGAAATAAACATGCTTTTGAATTTAATTTAAACATACATATTTTTGTTGAAAACATGTTTTTAATTTACTTTGAACTATTCATATTTTTATTTAATAAACATATATATTTTTAACTTAAATGAAGAAAATTTGGTTCCGTGTTTATTTTTCCAGGCTCATTTGCTGTAGCTTTGCGGAGCCGATATTCATTGTTTAGATAACAAAATTACTTAAAACTAACGTTTGTAAAGCGGGGGCCGATTACTCGCGGCTATCTCGAGGTAAGGGGTAACAAATTGTAACAAATGGATGGCAGGGTAGGGATTGTGAACACAAGGTTTGGAGAGCAACGTGCTCTTGATCTCGAACTAGGCGACACTCTGATGAAAAAGACAAACATGGGGGTACACCGATGGGTAGCTAACAACTTGGGGGAACACAAGATGACACTAACTTCTAAATCCTCAAATCTATCCGTTTTAAAAACACATAAATTAAATTCAAATAGTCAAGGTCTCGGCTCGCCAAGACATCTCTAACGGGTATCGCGGGTTGTTTTCCTCGGGCCCTGAGGGATGTGGATAACTCAGATCTGGCAACACGGTGTAAGGTACACGACCAAACAACATGCTCGATATCGTGATAACCACTGCCACACGCACATAAATTGCTGCCTGAGAGCCCAATTCGATAGAAGTGCGAGTCTAACGAGCAGTGATTGGACATAAGCCTTGATATAACGCGTATAAAGTCGCAGCTCATGTCCAACCCTTTGAACCATGGTTTGTTCGACACCTGTGGGAGAATAGAATGTAACCATCTTCCCAATTCACCATCATTCCATTTTTGTTGCCAACTGATGAGGACTTGCTGGCGAGCAATGGAGAAAAATTCGTTGAAGGCGATTTGTCGCTCAAAAATATCGCCTTCCATAGCGCCCACCTTAGCCAATGAGTCCGCTTTCTGATTACCCGGAATTGAGCAATGAGATGGGACCCAAGCTAAGGTGATAGTATAGGAGCAGTTAGATAAAGCACTCAGTTTAGTTCGTATTTCAGGCAGGAAATACGAGGAGTGCTTCATCGGCCTCATTGAACGAATAGCCTCCAATGAGCTAAGACTATCCGTAAAAATGAAATAATGGTCAGAAGGTAGTGAGGCAATTCGCTCTACTGCGTAAAATAATGTGTATTTTTTACACATTTTTTTTCAAGAACGGTTTTTACAGTAAAGCCTGGTATACAGATCGAAGCGAAAAGAAAATTGAAGCACGCGAAAAATCATGAAATTTCGCTATAGCTATAGCGAAAAAGGTTGTGAAAAAATGTTTGTGGAACGTTTTCCAGTTTCCTTTTTTCGCAGTTTACAGTTCATGTGAAACGAAATCGATCAGTTTACACCTCCGGTGAAGTGAAAATCTGACAGATACGCTCTTCCGAAACGTCAACTTTTCGCTGCATGCGCGAAAAAAAATGGAAGCGAAAAAGATGCGATCCACAACATTAGATTTCGCTGGATCGTATCTGTTTACAGTTCAAAGCGAAGTGAAAAATTTGCCATTTGCTTTTTTCACGCTGGTGAAAAATTTAGTATTTTGTATGAGATTTTCGCTTCGCTTCAATCTCTATACACACAGAAAAAAAAGTTGTTGAATATTACATCCAAACTGCTGCAACCAGGTCAATCCATCGGTTGTGTAAAGTAACGTTGTACGATGTACATCGATTTTGCGAACAAAATTACATCCATTGATGTAATATTGTATCTGCTTTTTGCTATTACATCATTATTTCATACATCAGCTTGAATTACATTGATCGATATTACATTTTGTTTTGCTGTGCAGGCCTTGAAATGTGTAAAAAGTAATCATTTCTAGAACTTAAATATAATGGGTGCGCCTGGTTTTTTTATTAACTTCTGCATTTTCTTATTTGTGTCAATGGTAAAATAAAGATCGCTCAAATACAGTAATAATTTATTAAAAAAAGAAATGCCATCAACAAAAATAAGTAGCGGCACCGGAGGTGTGTAAGCGTGATTACCTCTCACCCCAGCAGGCCTGGGTTCAATCCCAGTCGATGCTTCCGGGATGTTCTGAGCTGAGTACTGCGGACTCACTCAAGGTGCTTGTCACTTGGGAGCCAGTGTGAACTGTCAAGCGGGAGCCAAACATTCAGAAGCAGCAAATGCAGTTACTGTTCTTATCTACCGTCCAGTATTGTAATCTCATAAAAATGATCTACGAACTCACTCTTTTGCTCATTGCTCTATTTATACTGCATTGGACATCCCGTATCCAACATGTGTGATGTAGAACAGAGACGAGTTGTGTTTGTTCACATCGACCGATACTGAGTGGTTGCGGTACAAGCACATATCGTCGGTAATAGACGATTGTTGTGTATTGAGAACGCTTGCGCAAAAAGACTAAGGGAGGGAAACGGATTCGAAACTCATATGTCATTAGCCAAATACATCCGTAGACCATAGGTCCACCGTTGTATAATTGGCAATGCACCCGTGTACTGAATGGGAATTGTGGGTTCGAATCCCACCGGTGCCCTTAGATTTTTTCGCAAATTTTCTCACACGCACGTCTCTTGCCGATGATATGTGCTAACCTCTCAGTATCTTCTAACTGTCGCATATAACACTCTTAAGACTCATTAAGAGACTCGGCGCGATCAGAGGTAATCACGCCTCAGAACCTGGGTACTGCGGAGTCGATCAATTTTATTTTGCAAGCCAATGGAAAACTGCTTGAAATTTTTCTCAAGTTTAAAACTGGTTTGCTCTTTTTCAGTCGATTCCCGTCATAAGCTCTGAGCCAGTAGTGCTCGAGCCCCCATGACTCTAACAAAGTTTGTTTACATACATGTTTTGCCAAAGTATGTTTTACTGTAATTGAAAACTCAGTTGCCTCATAAAAAATATGCTGGTTTTTATACTTTCATCACTGAGCCTGTTGGTTTTTATCTTTGAGCTTAACATTAAGAATGTGTAACCAGTGGTGTGTCTGTTTGTCTGAGATTAGTGAGATTGTCACGATTAGTGTTTCGTATTTTATGTATAACAATATGCCAAGGAAAGGTTTGAATACAAGCTACCAACACCACCCATCGCCCACAAAATCACCCACTGGACAGTACACAGCCACACCGCCTAAACGACAGGAAGATCCGCTACCTACCACCAGATGGCACTGTTTACTGGATTTGGAGGCCATTAGGAGGTGGCATAATGGGGCCATGATGAGGCGAAATAGGGCGGAAGGACGATGGCTCAGCGAGGAGGAGAGAGGATAGGTCAGCCGCCATCGTCAAGAATTATTTGATTGGCGATACTCAACAGCGATACTTCGTAAAGCTAGTTCAAGCAAGTCCGAAACCAGTAAAAAACCGTGAGGACGTGAAAAAAAAGTGAAGAAGGAGAGTGAGGTGCAGAACCATCCAGGACCCCGTAGTTTACCGCTGGCAATTCATCCACGGCGTGGTCAGACCCCGTAGTGTCCGTTATTCGGCATACGGTTAGACACGGAGCACCTTCCGATACGAAGGTATCCGGGAATACTAACCAACGGCCCATCGCCACGCCACGAGTATAGTGAGGAGAGAGAGAGAGATCGAAGAGCCGTCGCGGAAAGTACCGAAGTACGCGACCTGCTTGCGAACCAAGTCGAGGAAAGGAACCGACTGGCCTGTGAAAAGTACCCAGAAGGAAGCTGAGGAAGGTGAAGGAGTGGCTGTGGAAGGACCAACAGCGGGCCCGCGCTGAAGAATTAGAAGAAACGTCAGGCGTAACGAGGTAGGAGATAGCGAATAAGAAAGTGGGACGAAAGTGGGAACAATAAAGGTGCCTATAGCTAAACAAGTGTTGTGTGTGTTAGATATTCGAGTGTTTCCTTGGCCGTGATATTCGAGCGCGCATGCCGACCCTGAGGTAGTGTAGAGGGGGGTCTCATTAGTGCTGGGCAGGGAGTACCCCACCTGTTACACTTGGCGCCCAACTGAAAATTTGCGTAGAATATCAGTGCTCGGGTACACTTGAATACCATTTGCGTGTCTTTGCAGAAGTCTCTGGGAAAACATCCAGACTTCGCGAATAAACTGAACCACAAAACACACAAAATAGGTAACCTGGTTGATGAATAAAAATTCAACAGAATTTGTTCATTAAGAGGGGTCTTGGATGTCAGTCAATGGTCTGAATAGCTACCAACATAAAGAAAAACTTACTAAAACAATATAAGTTGAATAGTTGGAGTTTTCGCGGCAAATTCCGGAATTATATCAGTGTTGTGTGAATTTCGACTGTTGAATAAAACACCAAAGAAAAACAAAACGTTTATTGAAAAAAAAAACAGGCTAAAACTAGGTTTTTTTTTTAAAATTATTTGCTTCAGTAGGGAGCGTGAACAAATTTTAGGATTTCAAATTTTTAATAATCTGCTTTCAAGCAACAAAAGTGTGCAACAATAGGATTTTTCAATTAATTTTGAGTGGGAGCTCCACTTGAGCAATATTTTAGGTTCTTTTCAATTTTTATTCTACGATTTTCCTGTGTTGTTGAATGAACATGGCGGAGACTAGCATGTCTCTTTTGTCGGCACAGTACCATGCGTTGAATCCTGGCCATCTGACGATAGATGAGCTGCAACACGAGCTAAGGATCCGTGGTCTCGCAATTGTATCTTCACGGAGCGCATCAGAGAGAACACTGAGAAGTCATCTGAAAGAGGAAAAAGAGAAAGTAGGTGTTATGATTTCGTCGGTTTGTGAATCGGTAGTAGACGAGCTAGAGGTTTGTGATGATAAGCTGAATGGAATAAAAAACCATTTGGAAAAGCGACGATCGAAGAAAGCCCCAGACCAGCTGTACAAAAGCAGACTGATTCATATTCTCTTTCGAATGCAGCGGTTGAGAGTCAACGTCAAAGAAGAAGATGAATTGAACAGTCTAGCTGTGATAGCCGGAGAGTGTGTGAAATTGCTCAATGTGTACTTTTCAGCAACCTCCCATCTTCCAGAAGTGAGAGAGGCTGAGTTGGCGGTCATCAATGAAAGTTTGATCCAGCTTCGTAATGAGGGAGAGAACATGAACGCTGATCAGGAGCAAGAGGAAAACGAGAATGAAAATCCAGTCCAGAGTTCCGCTGAGGAGAGCATAACTGAGCTTAGAGAGGAGAGTGTTGTAGTAGAGTCTGTTGGTGGTAGTGAGTCTGAGAAGGTGGATAGTGAGAGAAATAAATTGGCGAATGAGATCAAGCAACTGACGTCAGTTGTGAGTCTATTGCTCCAACGGATCACAGTGCTGGAATCAAAACAATCCGTAAGTCAGTCACAGGATGCCCCACTTCAAACCGAGGGGGGCGACTCTATCTACGATGCAGGGAAAATTGTGTTTTGTTGTGCTTTGCTGCGCACACGCGGAGTAGATAGAAAGAAGATTGATGACGATTCTGAAGATTTCTTGCAAAAATATTATGCGCGATGCAAATAGATGCGATAAATGAAATAAGATTTTTCGAAGATTGATTCGCGAGTGTGAGATTTGTTGAGCATCTAGAATTGAGATTTAGATGTGTCGCCCCCCTCGCTTCAAACCAACAACAGCACTCGAATTGAGGAAAGAGTACGACAGGAGAAAAGGGTAGAAAAGGCTCATCCAAAACCAGTAAATTTTCTGGAGTGGATTAAACAGAAGAATGATTCGTTGGAAACACTGAAAAGCGCAGAGGAGAGGAAAACGGTAGCAAATAAAGTAAATGAAATGAATGACAGGGAAAGAGAGAGGAATCGATCAATACATAGTAGGTTTCCAATTCACAAATGGACAGTTCGATATGATGGGATGGATAATGGGAGAAGGTTGAATGAATTTCTTAAGGAGGTGGAATTTAACGCTAAGTCAGAAGGGTTTTCGGACACTGAGCTGTTTCAGGGAGCTCATCATCTGTTTACACAGAAGGCGAGATCCTGGTATATGGAAGTTAGTAGGGAACTAGGATCGTGGAATGAGCTGGTAGATGAGTTGAAAAAGGAGTTTTTACCTGTCGACATCGACTACGTCTACGAACGGCAAGCTAACAACCGGAAGCAAGGTGTCAGGGAGAAGTTCCAGGACTTTTACTTGGACATGGTCCGGATCTTTCGCGGCATGTCAAATCCGTGGGATGAGAAGAGGAAGTTCGATGTTCTGTTTCGCAATACTCGAGATGATTTCCGTATTGCATTGCTGGCTGCGAACGTTGATTCGATACCTAGAATGAAGGATTTCGGTAAGCGGTTCGATTCAATCAACTGGCACATGTATCAGAGGAAGGATGTTAGGTTTGCGAGAAAAGAGGTTGTACAAATCGATGAAATTAGACAACAGCAAACGTTCCAAGACAATCGTGGCAGGTATCAGGACAGAAACCAGAATAGGGGAGATTCAAATCGCCAGTTTAGACCAGGTGATAACCAACAGCTTCAGAAGCGTCCATGGAAACAGCAACAAAATGTCTACCAAAGCCACCAAAAGCAGATCAATTCCATCAAACCAAATCCGAAGCCGGACACTAGACAAAGAACCAGCAGTCCTGTTCCAGGTCCTAGTGGAACTAATGCCCTTCAGAGAATCGTCAATGCGTACATTCCATTGAGAAAGAATGTATGCTACAATTGCCATGAAGGAGGTCACGATTTCGAGGATTGTACCAAGGAACGGAAGATGTTCTGTGAACGTTGTGGTTTTCCGGGCTTCAAAACGAGAGATTGCCCGTATTGCCAGTCAAAAAACGGCCCGAAGACTGTCTCCACAAGACCTCACATAGGACCAGTAGTTCCAGAAGCTCTCGAACAGCTGGGTTACTCGCGAGTGAGTGGAGATACAACTGAGGAGATAGCAACTATACTGGTAACACTCAGCGATGACGCAAGACCATTCGTGAGAGTGGAAATGTGGGGAATTTCTATCGTAGGACTGTTAGACAGTGGTGCTGCTAGAACAGTGTTAGGAATAGGTGGTAGGAAACTAGTGAGTGATTTAAAATTAAAATTGAGACCCACTAGGGTTAACTTAAAAACAGCAGGAGGACAGGACTTAGATGTCATAGGGACCACCGACATTCCAATAACATTTAATGGAGAAACCAAAATCTTACCGGTCTTGGCTGCTCCCAACTTGAATCGTCGTTGCATCTTGGGATATAACTTCTGGCAGGCCTTTGGAATTCGTCCAACAGTTTCTCAATCCGTCGACGCGATCGATGATGCTGAAATTGAATCAGTAGAAAGTGTTAGTGAGCTGAGCGACGACCAAAAACGGCAACTGAAGGAGGTAAAAAGTTTATTTTTAGGAGCGAGTCCAGGCCACTTGGGGAAAACCAGTCTCATCGAACACAAAATCGAGCTAAAGGACGAATTTATAAATTCTGATCCAGTTCGTAAAAATCCGTACCCTTGGAGTCCAGAGATCCAGAAGAAGATCCATCGAGCGCTGGATAACATGATCAGGGACGGAGTAGTCGAGCCATCCGAATCGGAGTGGGCTTTGCCAGTTGTTCCCGTCAAGAAGCGAGACAGTGAGGATGTGAGACTTTGTCTCGACGCAAGAAAGCTCAATGAGCGAACAAAGAGAGATGCATATCCACTCCCCCATCAGAATAGAATTCTTAGCCAATTGGGTCCATTCAAATTCCTAACTACGATAGACCTATCACAAGCGTTTCTTCAGGTGCCCTTGAACCGTGAATCCCGTAGATTTACTGCTTTTTCAGTACCAGGTAAGGGACTTTTCCAGTTTACCAGGTTGCCCTTCGGACTGGTGAATAGTCCGGCAACGCTGAGTAAGCTGATGGACAAAGTTTTGGGGCATGGAGAACTAGAACCAGCCATTTTCGTGTATCTGGATGACATTGTGGTAGCGAGTCACACGTTTAAGGAGCACGTACAGAAGTTAAGGGAGTTAGCTAGAAGATTAAAAGAGGCGAATTTATTTATAAATCTGGAGAAATCCAAATTCTGCTGCTACGAACTGCCTTACCTCGGTTACATCCTCTCGGAAGAAGGATTACGGCCTAACCCGGATCGAGTCCAAGCGATTCTTGGATACGAGGCCCCAAAGTCAGTAAGGTCACTGAGAAGATTCATCGGTATGGTAAATTATTACCGCAGGTTTATCGACAAATTCAGCGAACTCACCGCACCACTCACCGATTTGTTGAAAAACAAACCCAAGAAAGTGCGGTGGAATGAGGCAGCAGAAAATGCATTTAAAGCTATCAAGGAGAGGCTAATTACTGCCCCTGTTATGGCTAATCCCGATTTCAGTCTTTCGTTTTGCGTGCAGACAGACGCTAGTGATACCGCTCTAGCAGGTGTTCTCACTCAGGTACACAGTGGGGTGGAAAGAGTGATAGCATACCACTCAGAGAAGCTAAAAGGAGCCGAACTTAATTATCATTCAGCAGAGAAGGAGGGGTTGGCTGCCCTTCGCTGCATTGAGAAGTTTCGATGCTATATAGAGGGTACTCGGTTCACTCTCGTAACGGATTCATCGGCACTCTCTTTTATAATGAGAGCCAAATGGAGATCCTCATCGCGTTTGAGCCGATGGAGCATTACTTTGCACCAATACGATGTGGAGATCAAACATCGTAAAGGGAAGGAGAACATTGTCCCAGATGCGTTATCTCGGTCCATTGAAGCATTGGAGGTGATAGAAGCGGACACATGATACCACAATCTGTATGAATCAGTTGAAAACGAACCCGAAAAATACATCGACTTCCGGATCGAGGATGGTCGATTGTTCAAGTTTGTAGCTGCCAAATCGGATGTATTAGACTACAGATTTGAATGGAAGGAGTGTGTACCTGAGTCCGAACGTTCACGAATCATGCACCAGGAACACGATGGCATGATGCACATCGGATTCGAGAAGTGCATCGAGAGTGTCAAACGAAAGTACTATTGGCCTAGGATGTGTGCTGACGTTAAGAAGTACGTAGGAAAATGCGAGGCTTGCAAGGAGAACAAGCATTCAACGACATCAACTGCTCCGGAAATGGGAAATCAACGAATCGCGACCAGGCCTTTCCAGATTGTGTGCATGGACTACATACAGTCTTTGCCTAGAAGCAAGCAGGGCAATGCCCACTTATTAGTCGTCTTAGACGTTTTCTCTAAGTACTGCCTGCTTGTTCCGGTAAAGAAAATCTCTTCAGGGAGTCTGTGCACAATCTTGGAGGAAAGATGGTTCCGAAGACTGTCCGTTCCGCAGTACGTTATAACGGATAATGCGACTACCTTTTTATCAAAGGAATTTCAAGAGCTGCTGAGGAAATATGAAATCCAGCACTGGGCCAATTCACGACACCGAAGTCAAGCAAACCCAGCAGAACGGCTTAACAGGACGATAAACTCGATGATCCGCACGTACGTCCGTCACGATCAGAAGCTCTGGGATACTAAAATTTCAGAAATTGAGTTCGTATTGAACAACACCATACATGGATCGACGAAGTACACCCCGTACCGAGTGATCTTCGGGCATGAGATGGTAACTCTAGGATCAGATCACCGGAGGGAAGATGAGAGTGAGCTCTCGGAAGAAGAACGTGGGGTAAGGATGCAGGGAGTTAATAAAAAGAACTTCGAGCTCGTGAGGGAGAACTTGAAGAGAGCCTACGAGAGCACGAAACGGCAATATGACTTACGTCACAAACGCTACTCACCTACATTCACTGTCGGACAACGAGTCTTCAAACGGAGCTTTACTTTGTCATCTGCTGGAAAGGACTTTAACGCGAAGTTAGGTCCGCAGTATAAAGCGTGCGTCATCGTTGCAAAAAAAGGCAACAGCTCGTATGAGATCTCAGATCTCAATGGAAGATCTTTAGGTATCTTCTCGGCAGCGGATCTGAAGGCCTAAAATAGAAGAATCTAAAAATAAAGCGTGGTACCACCAATTGATAACTGTTTGATTCTTGAGTTACAGAAGGTCAATGGTGAGGAGGGCTACTGAACCGAAAACGGTTTCATCTGGTCCAGTATTCCTAATCCTATTGCGTAATTCTATATCGAGGAGAGAATCACTAGTTAAGTAAAGAATGTGTCAAAGAAAGACATTGCCGAATGCATTCAACTAGGAAATCATTAATTTTAGTATTTTTGTAATGAATAATTTGTTAAATACTTTAATTTTCGTTTTGTTGTCAAATAGCTGTGTGTAGTTTCAAATAACCCCATTTATGCACTTTACGCAATCAACTGAATTGTTTACAATATCGTAAACAAAGTTTTGAAACTGGGTTGCAATCAGTTGGTAATAGCAGTGCATAATGTGAGAGAGAGTGAGCGTACAATAGGAGAATGGATAACCGTAGTAAGATGACATTGAATCAACCACATTTTTTTTTGTCCATACTTACCTGATTGTATGTCCAGCATGCAATCCCCATACACGGAGAAAAAATACTACCCAAAATTTGAGTTCTTTTTACTTAATTTTGACTTCAGCCTCTCACTTGCACTCGTTATTGTTGTCAAAAAAGGAACAAGAGATTCGACCCAACGATATAGTTCAGCCCAATAAGTTACTTTTGAGTAAATTGCATATTCTCAAATTTGTGAGAATTAAACTTAATTTTGGGTAGAATATACTTAAGAGTAGGTAATTTTTTTTGCTGGTTTTAAATGGAAACTACTATATGCGATTTACTCAAATTTGGGTTATTGGGCTGAACCCCGGAATTGAGGGAAAAGTACTTAATTTTGGGTTGTTTTTCATCTCCGTGTACATGATGAACTTCTAGCTAAAATCGTTGGAGAAGGAAATTTCCGAGAAGAAAAACTAGCAAAAATGATCAATAGGCCAAAATAAGTTTCGACTAGTCATCAAATTGATAACAGTTCTTCTGAAAAAAGTACCTTTTTACCTAGATTTTAGCCACAACTTCATCAACAGCACACCACTTTTAACAATACGTTCTGAAATAATAGGCATTTGACAGTTTGGTAGTTCACAGTCTTCCGTACGCACACACTGATAAAACTGATAACGTTATCACAAAAAGCCACAGTTGATTCACTGATAACGGCTTACTCCGACATAGCAAAACGTTTCTAAAGGTGATGAAATTTTTCACACCGTACTCTAGAGTAATTTTGTAAAAACTGTAAATATTATTCCGGAATTCTTTATTAATATGTTAAATTTTGAAAATCTGCATGTTCTGTTTTAGTAGATTTAAAATACTATTTTTAATTGTTAAATGTAGTATAGCTTATATATATATATATATATATATTTTATTTCGTTTTTCTTGAGTGTTGGTCCAACAATTTATACAGTTTAAAAGGGATCGCTTGAGACCGGAATCGAAAGATATTGATGGTCAGTAGGAGGTTTTGACCTTGAAACTGAGTTGAGTTGGTTTACCAACGATGATAACTTATGACCCCGACCCAAATATACACTGTTAATAAAACGCTACTCTTTCCTTAGCTAACATCTGTGATTCGATACTTTTGGATAAGTTTGAGGTTTTGATTCATTAGTTTGTGTTAAAAACAAAGTGTGCGAGTAAGTTTCGTTTTGTTTGTGAAAATTCTGGTTCAGAGGTACGCGTCACAATTTTGGAATTCTTGTGTATGAAAAAGAAAAAAAAAAATTCGGCTTCACCGACATTTTTTTTTTACCCCAGCGGGTGGAGAGTGTAACCAGTGGTGTGTCTGTTTGTCTGAGATTAGTGAGATTGTCACGATTAGTGTTTCGTATTTTATGTATAAAAATATGCCAAGGAAAGGTTTGAATACAAGCTACCAACACCACCCATCGCCCACAAAATCACCCACTGGACAGTACACAGCCACACCGCCTAAACGACAGGAAGATCCGCTACCTACCACCAGATGGCACTGTTTACTGGATTTGGAGGCCATTAGGAGGTGGCATAATGGGGCCATGATGAGGCGAAATAGGGCGGAAGGACGATGGCTCAGCGAGGAGGAGAGAGGATAGGTCAGCCGCCATCGTCAAGAATTATTTGATTGGCGATACTTAACAGCGATACTTCGTAAAGCTAGTTCAAGCAAGTCCGAAACCAGTAAAAAACCGTGAGGACGTGAAAAAAAAGTGAAGAAGGAGAGTGAGGTGCAGAACCATCCAGGACCCCGTAGTTTACCGCTGGCAATTCATCCACGGCGTGGTCAGACCCCGTAGTGTTCGTTATTCGGCATACGGTTAGACACGGAGCACCTTCCGATACGAAGGTATCCGGGAATACTAACCAACGGCCCATCGCCACGCCACGAGTATAGTGAGGAGAGAGAGAGAGATCGAAGAGCCGTCGCGGAAAGTACCGAAGTACGCGACCTGCTTGCGAACCAAGTCGAGGAAAGGAACCGACTGGCCTGTGAAAAGTACCCAGAAGGAAGCTGAGGAAGGTGAAGGAGTGGCTGTGGAAGGACCAACAGCGGGCCCGCGCTGAAGAATTAGAAGAAACGTCAGGCGTAACGAGGTAGGAGATAGCGAATAAGAAAGTGGGACGAAAGTGGGAACAATAAAGGTGCCTATAGCTAAACAAGTGTTGTGTGTGTTAGATATTCGAGTGTTTCCTTGGCCGTGATATTCGAGCGCGCATGCCGACCCTGAGGTAGTGTAGAGGGGGGTCTCATTAGTGCTGGGCAGGGAGTACCCCACCTGTTACAAATGTGTTATGAAAAAGTATGAACGGAAGCAAAAAATAAAAAGTCGTCTGTATAGTGAAAACTAGAAAAAAGAAAGAAGGTTCCAGATATGGAAATCCGCTTGGAAATGGATGGTCCAGAAATCGAGTTGATGGCCCGCATAAACGCAAACCATCACTTGACCTTACCGATAATGGTTATAAATTGTTTATAATCCCTCCTAAACTTTAACCTTGACTTTAACTGAAATGGTTTTGGAACCTTACATGAACGTTTGTGTGATAAAGTTTTAACCTTATGTATTATGGTTTTTAGGAAGCGGACCTTACAAATAATGGGTCGTTTTTTTTTTCCTCTGTTCGGGACATAATACCATTCATGGGCCTTACTGACTACCATAACCATAACCATTAATGTTCTCAAACCATAAGTAAAACCGTTCTAATATAGTTCTCTTTCCGAAAATGTATGGAGAAAACAAGAATTTGAAATGGTAATGGTTCTTAACAACTCATTATTTGTAAGGTCCGCTTCCTAAAAACCATAATACATAAGGTTAAAACTTTATCACACAAACGTTCATGTAAGGTTCCAAAACCATTTCAGTTAAAGTTAAGGAGGGATTATAAACAATTTATAACCATTATCGGTAAGGTCAATTTATGGTTCGCGTTTATGCGGGGGTCGATAGGCATACCCGAAAAAAAAAATTACAGTGTAATTTTCAGTGGAAACAATGCTCTAACATTAATATTTATTGTCGACAATAAAAATGATTGTTATAATGTTGAACCCTTCCGAAAACGGCAAAAGTGGTACCTAGATGTACATACAATGAGGGTACATAATAAATGTTGTTACAATGATTTTTATCGTATTTTTCCTAGTATTTTTCATTTATTTTATTGTTAACGTGATTCGATCATGAACAATAATGAACAACTCTATTACAATAAAAATTGTTGTTACATTAAATATTGATGTGTTTTCATTGTGGGTTACGTCACAAACAATAAAAATAAATCTAATTGAAGCATGCAGACTATGAGAGAGTCAGCTACACTGCCAATGTAATCAAGATAGGCACTGTCCGTAAAGGATCTGGCTTTGACAGTTCGTTTGGCTGACTGATATCGGACTTGCTTTATTCGTTGCCAAGTCAATTGAACCATAGAGGTAACTCTAAGACCACTGGGTCCCGAAGAAAATCATTATTATTTTTGGCTCACTCAGTACCAGAACAACGGTCCCAAGCAGTCCCAAGCTATTTCACTCACCCCTGCATGTTCTGCATGAATCCACACACCCCTGATGTTATCTGTCTAACTTTCATAGCGAATCAAAACAAACATAGTGTATTAATAGAATTTCAACTAGAATAGGGTACGATAATCGTTTGCTTGGGACCAATAGGCTACTAAAGTGGTGAGCCAATTTAAAATCGTTAGTTTCGTATTGATTGTTGATTGAACGCCTACGACCAGATCGATTTGAGTTGAATTCAACTCACCTGCCTCATCTAAATCCCGCTTAATGCAGACCTTTTCCGTGCAGTCAATAATCATACAATAATAATAAAAAAAATCCACCACTTGAAGATATCAGGAAGGAATTCTCAGGTGGAAGCATATTTCATGGGCGATTCTCTCCAGTCGAATGTATTAACTTATCAACGACGCTCAACCACCAAGGAGGCGTGACCTAGGGAGATCGAGTGCAGGGGAGTTGGCCTGCATTTCTCACAAGTTCCGGATCGAATCTCAATCCAAAACCAGTAAAAAAAGGACTCACCCGTAACAGATTTACCAACCGGTGAACACTCGTGTTCATTTCAGTTACCGTGGGGACGTAATTTGTGATTAGCCCGGTCCCTTTCAAATTGTATCATTATTTATGTACGGTCCTTATATTTGAAATGACGTTTCACATTCATCTAGTGATGGCCGATTTTCATTCGAATAATTCAAGAGCAAATTTTCATTATGTCGTAAGTAACATTCGCACCAATCCGAGAAAAATAAAGTTTTGTTTTGATGACCGAAAAGTTATTCCTATTTCCAAGTAAACACATATAATCTCATAGTGATAGCAATGTTTAACATATTTAGCAGGGTTTTAATCATACAAATGCAAATCGCTAGCTTTCATGCTAAAAAATACTGGTTTTTAAGTCAAAAGTTTATATACGTCGTTTGGTGGCCCCTATTGTTACTTAAGTCAA